GCCTGCACCCAGCCGCACAGCTGGCAGCAGAGAGGTCCTGGTCCGGTCACTTCCCCGCGGGCCAGGCCAGGCCAGCTGTGCCCCGCCCCCCGCGGCCACCGCTCTCCTACACGTGTGCCTTTTCCCCTTCCCCCGTGCTTGCCCTTCTCAGAAGTTAGCTTACGAAGCAAAGTTGTAACTTTGAATTCCTGTTTTTCTAACTACCCTCATGTGACAGGATATCTCCTTACTGGCGGGTTTTCCTAAATTCAGGAGCCCTTTAAAAGAGACAGCTTCCTCCGGCCTCCTTTTCACCCTGGGGACCCGGGCCAGGCTGGGGGCGCTGTCAGGGGCCCTGTGTGTTTCTTTTTCGCGTCCTCCTTTCCATCCGTGGGAGAAGAGGATAAACCCTGGGCCATGAGGCTGTTCCTACTCCTGGGTTTTGTCTCTGTCATTCCGGTCGTCGTGCAGCTGCTGGGTAAGTCCTTCCTCTGTGAGATGGGGACTTCGCGAGGCCTGGGATGCACTTTCCTCCTTGGGGTTAATGCTGAGAGGCCTGGGTGCACCTGAGAGGAGGCCACGCCTCCCTGGCAGCACCTGCCATCAGGTGCAATCTCCGTCTGCACCTGGGCTCCAGGCTCGGGGCCCAGCAGGGGGCAGCTTCGCAGGTGGAAGGAGCCCCCTACAGAGACCTGCTTCTCTCCCGCTTGTGCGGCTTGGGCGAGGATTTCCTGATCTGTGGTTTGCAGCTCACCGGATTTCATGGAACTTTCTGAGAGTCCCTGGTGGGGAGGAGGAGGAGGAGGAGGAGAAGGAGGAGAAGTAGGCTTCTCCCCACCAAAGGGCAGGATCACCCAGCACGAGGGATTTCATGCGGTTTCCACACTCCTTTTTTTCCCTGTGAACCGTTTTTAATCATTTTATAACTTTTATTGCTAGGAACGCATCCTTATCTGTGTTCTAATTTGGTCAAACTGTCTCATAAGCAGATGTATTGTTTTTTTTTTTTTTTTGGGTACCGGGGATCGAACTCAGGACCTTGCGCTTGCAAGGCAGGCGGCGGAACCACTGAGCTAAATCCCTGGCCCCTTATATTCAGTGTTAAGTTTGAAAACGGACGATTGCTTGTAAGGAACAGGTTCAGAGTTTTGATGTTACTGCGTCTTTCTGTCTCTTAGACTCAACCTGCTGAAGCTACAGGAGGACCTGGGAGAATTTGCATTCCCAGGTCTATTTTTCAGATGATTTACAAGGGATTTCAACTTCGGTGGGTGTTGTCATTGTTGTTGTTTCTCATCCACTTTTATTTCCACCAATCAGCTAATGTGGAGCAGAGTTTGTCCCAGGGCCCCTACTGAGGGCCTTGCTGTAAGGCGGCCAGGAAGCTCCCTTGGAGAGAGTTTGACCACAAAAAAGGCTAAATCCTAATAAGAATAAGAATAGTGATTATCAAAATCTGAGCAATGGCAGCGTGGTCTGTACCCTGCCTCTGCCACTTGCTAGCCGTGTGACCTTGAGCAGTGACTTACGTCTTTGTGCTTTAGTTTCTGTGTCTGTAAAGTGGGGAGAGTAATATCTCCTGCCCCACGAGTTGTGGCGGTGACTTGATGGCCCAGCGTAAGTGTTTGGTTAAGTGTCAGCTGTTAGAAGAACTGGGTTCCTCCTCTCCTGTCACAGCAGTTAGTTTTCCAATACAAGCAGGATGTTAAGGACAGAAGGGCGAAGTTTCTCCAGAAACAATGTTGCGGAGAGATCCTGGGGTTCGGAGAGTTTGGGCTACGAAGCAGTTGGTGGGTGCTGTAGAAAAGGGCTCTTGAACTTGGCCTTGAAAAGGCTGTAGTATAGGTGAGGACCTATCCTTATCTCCATCTTTTCCAATGTTTCTGTCTTGTGCAAGAGAATTAAAATATCCTCCAGGCCCCAAAGGTGAATGTTCAGACCTGAGGGAATCCCAGGGTTGTGTTGTCTCAGATGGAGTAGTCTGTTCAGGAGTAGTAAGTTCCCTACCGGGGAGGCCTTCAGACAGATGCTGGATGAACTGTTTGAGACCTGGACCCTGTAACCTAGTCCAGTCCAGCAGGAAGAGCTACAGAGTGTAACCACAGTAAAAAAAACAAAACTAAACTAAACTAAAAAGACAGGTGAAATTGATTTTATTATACGATATTTTATTTAGCTCACCATGGCCAAAATATTACCATTCAATGTTGAATCAATATAAAAAATTATTTTGGGTTATTTTCACATTCACTTTTAAAAACTAACTCTTCTCCCAGCACTGGGGAGGCTGAAGCGGGAAGGTTGTGAGGTTGAGGCTCTTCAGAGTTGCACAGAAACACCTTGTCTCCAGGAAACAAGATCGAGTCTGGTGTGGACTGTCTACTTCCAGTGTGTTCTGTTCACACTAGTCTCACTCTAAGCCTGCAACAGTCACATGGGGCTCCTGGCTCCCGTCCTGGGGGGCAGGTACAGCCTTCAATTTTTTTTTTTAACTGACTCAATGCTTTTGAGCAAGAGGTATTTCTCAATTTTCTTAGGAATTTTTGCCTCTCTGAGACAGCAGAATGCCTCTCGCTGACTAATGTCTTCCTCTTCCTGGGCAGAGATATTGGGAGGGAGAGGGAATTATTGGAGGACGGTTTACTTGGAGAATCCAGAGCAAAGAAACAAACAAAAAAGGACAAGAGATCCCCTTCCAAAATTCTTGTTTTGCTCCAGAGCCTATGATCCCAGTTTACCTTTCCTTAGCCCAAGTAGCACATGATGAGAGGGATCCAGGTGCAGGAGGGACATTGAATTGCAAGGACCCCTCCCCTGGCTTCCTGCCCACTGAAAGAACCCACAGGAAGCTCTCCCCACTTCCGGTTTGTTTATTTCTTTCCAGTCCAGAACCCTTTCTTCCACCTCAAAGGAGCATCCCACTCCATTAGCACCGCAGGTAGGCATCCAGCGGGGCGGTGCCCATGAATGGATGTGCACCGTGTACCTTGGAGTCCCGGGAAGCTGACAGAGGGGGCCGCCTGCCTTTCTCGCCCTGCTACCCTTTAGTCCTCACTGCCAACATTTGGGCCTCAGGGGATTATGGCTGCAGTAGGGGAGCCGTAGAGTCGGACACCAAGGGCACCACAGCAGAGACATTTAGCCTGGAAATGAGAGGGTTTGTTTCATGGGCAGTAGTGCGCTGGTAAACTGAACAAGTTGCTTGCAGATGGAAAATGAAAAGGCACTGATTTGATTTGTGTTGTTTACTGATTTCCATGGCCCTCTCCTCCCAGGCTCTCTGGATGCAGCTGTGACGGGGCTAGAAGGAGCCCAGAGCCTGGGCTCCCTTTGCAAACCAGAGAAAGTTGTGAGTCATTCAAGCAAGAGCGAACTGGGAAGTTAGGTTCTGGTGTGGTCGTTTTCCAGGCTCGAGGGCACTGCCTCAGCAGGCAGAGGTAGACCCTGCACTTCAGTCTCAGTTCTTCCTTTTCCATCTGCCCTTAGATTTCTTGCTGTGATTTAAGACTGGCTGAGTGAGAGTCAGGCTGCGGGCTCAGAGTGGGTAGGAAGCCACCACATTGGGATTCTGACCCCGATGTATGCCCACAAATGTAATCCTGATGCGTGTTCTTCCCGTTTCATTTTCCTCACCTAAATGCTAAGGAAGAGAATCATCGTTGATGTCACGTTATCATCACGGTGTTGAAACTCACCGTCGCTCTTGAAAACTTTAGTTTCAGTAGAAACATGTATCACAGTATCAATTCTTAAAAGTATTTATTTTTCACAAAATCCACTTAAGTGGGAGAGAAGCTCCAGGCCCTCGCATCTAGGCTGTTTGTTTGCATCCTCCATTGTCCGGCTTTCTCGGGGCCTGCATTCAGAAGTCTGCATTCATATCTGTACCTTGCAGTGGGGAGCTAGGTGAGAGTTTTAGTGATTCTGTGTAATTTGTGCTTTAAGCTGCAAATATTGAGTACAAATAACTGAAGCAGAAACGTAGACCTCAGGGACCCCTAGCTCTGCCCAAGGCAGTTGGCGGAGGTGGGGTGGGGTGGGGTGGGGGTGGTGGGGGTGGTGTCACTTTCTACCTTTTGCTAATTGGGAACCTGAGACTAAAAAGACAGCGAGTTGCAGAAGGTCCTTGCAGCAAGGGCTAGAGCTAACCCTTGACAGTGATTTCTCTCCTCTTCTTCCTCCTCCTCCTCCGTTTTATTATTAGTCCACGTTTGCAGTACACCATGATCACACACGTGATGAGGAAACGGTCCCTGTACATAACATGTCTCAATTCTTTTTTTTAATCCCCTCTCCTCCTTTCCCCCTCCTCCAACTCATGGTCCCCTTTCCTTTTGCAAAGGATCTGTCTCCCTGTTTCCTATTTTGTTTTGCTCTTTATTTATATTTTGGGTCTCTCATATAAAAGAAATCATGTGATATTTCAGCTTGTGCGTCTGATTTATTTTGCTTAACATTATGGTCTCAAGGTGCATCTATTTTCCCACAGATGACTCACATTTATCTTTCTTTATGCAGAGTAGTACTCCATTGGGTGTAAACGCCACATTTTCCTTACCTGTTATCTGCTGATAGGCAGACAGGCTGCTTCCAAGATTTAGCTATTATGAATTGTGCTGCTATAAACATAGGTGTGCATGAATCACTGCAATATGATATCTTTAATTCCTTTAGGAAGGAAGATACCTAGAAGAGGAATAGCTGGGTAGAATGGAATTTTTATTTTTATTTTTTTGAGAAATCTCCACAGTGGTTGTACTAGTTTACAGTCCCACCAACAGTGTAGGTTACCCCTGCAGCCTCACCGGCATTTGTTATTATTTGATGTCTTGATGATGGCCCTTCTTTCTGGGGTGAGGTGGGATCTTAGTGTTACTGTAATTTGCATTTCTCTAATGGCCAGTGATGTTGAGCGTTTCTTCGTGTGTTTGTTGGCCATTTGTTCTTCCGAGAAGTGTCTATCTTTCGGTTGCCCATGTTCTCTGACTCAGGCTAAGAAGTAGATATAATTTAGCAGCTGGAGTGTGCTGGTCAGGAAGTTGTCAATGTGGATCAAAACAACAGTATGCTAAAAGAAGGACTTAGATCCCTTTATTTGCATCACAGTTTTTGGATTTTTTTATTTCAAGAGGGAGACAAGGGAATGCCAATTCACTGTTTACTACATGCAGTATGACACTCCCGGGGCTTTCCATGAATTCATTTAGAAGCACAGTGATTCAATCAAAGAACATTACTACCCCCATTTTACAGATGAGGAAATTGAGGCTAGAATGGTTAGTTTAAGGAAACACAGTTTATAAATGGTGGAGCCGGAATTTAATTGCGAATTTGCCTATCTCGGAAAACTTTCCTCTCCCCTCTATGCTGCCTGCCTCTGAGGCTGGAAACTTCGAGTCTGTGCTTGCTGCATCTTTCTGTCCTTCTGTCTCTCCTCCTAGGCTGGTGCATCAGCTCTTTCTTGGCTCTAATTTCCACCTGCTCCTAACCATTTCACACTGCATCCAAGACCGATTTCCCCAAGTTAATGATAATAATAATTAACATATATTGAGCAATTTCTGTATCGGGAGCCATTCTAAGACCTTTCTATAAATGATCTCATTTAATTCTTACAGCAACTCGTAGGAACTGTCCCTTCCCCTTTATGGATGGGAAAATGGAAGCACGGAGTAGAGTTGACAGTCGACCAAGGTCACATAGCCAGGAAGCACTGAATCTGGTTGCCTGGTAACCAAACAGGGAAGCTGTGTGTCCAGGTGGACCGGATGCAGGAGATGAGTGGGTTCATTGGCATGGCTGTGAGTGGACAAAGAAACAAGAGCATGGAGACAACTTCCACAAAACCTGTGGATGTTTCTGTTTGTCCTCAAGTTGGGGCAGGGCTGGCACTCTGAGGTGGCTAAGGAGGTCCAAGGATGAGCGGTGAGGTAGAAATTCATGGTTTTGGAGATGTTGAAGGGTAGGAATTTCATGCATTTTTGTTTTCTCCTTGAGCTCAGGATCTATTTCACAGCTCAGTGTGGTGTCAGGGGCCTGTAATTACAGAAGTCTGGGAGGCTGAGTCAGGAGGAGGGCAACCTGGTGACTTAGTCAGCTCCCATTTCAAAATTAAGAGAAGAAACAGTTTAGAAAGGGTTAAGGGTATAGCTCAGCTCAAAAGCCTAGGTTCAATCCCCAGAGCTGGAAAAACAAAAACAAAAATCCATTTCAGATTCATATTTGTACCTCCCCAAATGGCCAAATGTAGTGACAAAATTGGTAGGTATTCTGAATATTGAATGAATGATCAAAGCAAAAAATAAAATAACTCTTAACTTTTCCTTTACTTTTTGATCAACATTACTAAGCCCCAGCTGCATGATTCTTCATCTCCCCCTGGAGTCAAGCATAGCTTTTTGCATATACTAAATAAATGACAAATAATTCTCACTTGATTTCAGTTTGTTTGGGGGAAACCACTGAAGGTTTTGCTTATTATTAATGTTATTGTTATTATTATTATTTTGGCAGTACTGGGGATTGAACTCAGGGCTTTCACACTGATGTACATCTCCAGATCTTTTTCATTTTGAGATAGGCTCTTGCTAAGTTGTCCAGGCAGGACTCGAACTTCTGACCCTCCCACCTCAGTCTCCTAGGTGCTGCAATTACAGGCGTCCGCCGCTAGGCCTGGCTTTGCATTTGCTTCCCAAAGCTAATGGACCTACCGTATCTTGTGGTTTGGGTTCTTCTTGAAGGAGGCATCTGACAACTGTGCTGATTTGAGTGCAAGGCGATCTCAGGAAGTACTGACAGGGGAATGGGGAAGTGAGATAGGAAGGGAAAGTGTGTTGACGAGCCTGGGACCACAGCAGGCCAGAGGAGCTCAGATGTGTCAGGGAGCTGTGGGTGACAGGGAGGAATAGGAGCGTCGGGGTCATCTCACCCAAGGGGCAAGGCGCCCGGCATGCTCAGCACTGGGGAAGGGATGCATCTAGGGGCCTTGATTCTCTCACCCGTCTGGACGGCTCTGTGTGCAGCTGTGGGTCTGGGGCCTCTGAGGTCAGAAGAGAGGCCAGGCCAAAAGATACGCTGAGGAATCTGGTGGTGGGGCCACCGTGCACCAGGAGCTCAAAGGGCAAAGAGGAATCAGGGATGTTCTGGCTGTGCACTGGAATGTGCCGGGTTGTCTTCTGCTTACTCAGCTTCTCCCTCTCCCAGGAGTGATTTTCTTTTATGTTTTAATGTCAGCATTTTATTTGTTGATAGTGGAGAAAGTCTAAAAGTGTAATAGAAAATATAGAAGACCATCTTGTATCCCTAAATACTTACCTTTCACAACCCAAGTTCCTGTGCTGGTGGGTTTAGAGATGTCTTTGACTGTTTAATAATTTGCTGTGGAATAACTTAAAAATGGCAAAACATGCTTAAAAGAAGAGTCACACTGACGGCGATCGTAGTTTTGATCTTCAGGTCCTTTTAACTTGAGCTGTTGATTGAAACTTCTCAATCAATTAGTGGAGAGTGACAAGAATGCCCCGATTTGCCTTTTGGTCAAGGTCTTAAAAGTCCTTTCAGAGGAGGAAGTATGAGGGTTTGACTCGAATCCATTTCACAGAGACAGTGATAAAGGCAAGCCCACATGCTGACAGTTTGGGGAGCATAATGCACGAATATATCACCATAATGTGATAATTCTACGTTTCCTTGCATTGTCTGACAAAGACAATGTCAAACTTCTGCTTCCTAATGCTGAAAGATAAGTCCAGGGAACAAGGATAAGTGTGTGTTGAAATAGAACTTCTCATTTTCAAGTGCTCTTTTTCTAAGTGTTTATCAATCGCTCATGGGTGAAAAAAAATAAGCGTTTCGGGGAAAAGACTAGTTTAAAATATACCCATAAAAATAAAATAAAATAAACCCATAATTATGAAACCATTATTAAATAAAACCATTTATCGAATTACTTGTCAAGATGCTTCAGATTGAGTATTCTTTCATTCATTCAACTACTATTTGTTGAGAGACTGCTTCATGCTTCCCAAAGCGAAAACACTGTGTTCAATTGGAAAGATCACGTTTATTTTCCTCATGGACTTTACACTGTAGTTAGCGGGACACAGACAAGACACAAGTAAACAAATTGCCAAGGAGTTGACACCTGACCTGGGATCTTAGCAGGCCCAGAAAAAGGAACTCAAAATGTGAAGTTGCCGGTGTGAGCAGGAGCCTGGCGAGTGTGAGTGTGAGGTGCAGAAAGGCGGCCCGGTTGCAAGGTGGCACGTGGGACTGAAGGGCCGGGGCCAAAGGGCAACAGCCGCAGGACGGTTCCTTCCAGTGCGCACTGGTAAAGACCTCCAAGGGTTTTTACTGTTGAGGAATAAACTTTAATTAGAAACAAAGTCTTCCAACCCAAGGCCCGGGGTAGCAGAGGAAGAAAGTAAGTTGATCACTGAGTAAACATTCAGCCACAATGTGGCACACATTCTAGAAAACCCAGCAAAGAAATTGTGCCAATACAGAGAAATCACACCTTGCTGTGGTTCAGGGGATACAACCATTACATGGGGTGGGTTGTGCAAGGTGGAGTCTGTGATGAGTCAGGCCCAGCTCCTGGAAGGAAACTGGGAGATGGATGCTATCTTCCTTGATGACTGCATTTCAAAGAGAGTAAGAGCAGAGTCAGACCGGGCTGGCTTGGTGTAGGTTGGTGCATGAAGTTGGAGAGAAGAGAATGGAGTAGGACATATGCATTAGGCAGGGTTCTGCAGAGAAATAGAACTCTGTGTGTGTGTGTGTGTGTGTGTGTGTGTGTGTGCACGTGTGTCTGTGTATGTGTGTCTAGAGAGTTATTTAGGGAATTGGCTCACACAGTTGTGGAGAGCAAAGAGTCCAGAGTTAACAGGAAAAAATTGCTATTACAGTTAAAGTCTGCATGAGTCAGCATCCCATCACTATAAGGAAACACTTGAGATAATCAACTTATAAGAGAAAAGATTTGTTTTGGCTCACAGCTTTGGAGGGTCCAGTCTGTGACTGGTTAGAGCAGTTGCTTCGGGTAGTTAGTAGCAAGGTAGCACATCATGGTGTGAATGTGTGGCAGAACAAGACTGTTTACCTTGTGACCAGGAAGCAAAAAAGAGGAAAGGGCTGGAGTCCCATAATCCCCTTGGAGGCCACACTCCCAGTGGCTCAAGGACTTCCTACAAGGCCCCACCTCCTGGAGGATCTACTATGTCCCCAACACACCACCTTGGGGACAAAGTTTTAACACACGGGCCTTTGGGAAACATTCAAAACCCATACTATGGGAGAGTCCAGAGGCAGTTTAGAGACAGAAGTCCCTCCCCTTGGATGGATCCTTTCTTAGTTTCTTAAGGTCATCAATTGATTGGACAAAGCCCACCCACACAGTAGAGGGTCATCTGATTTCCTCAAACTCTACTGATTTAAGTGAATTTCTCATCTTAAGCAAAGACCACAGCAATGTCTAAAATGGTGTTTGACTCAATATCTGGGCACTATCACCCTGCCAAGTTGACTCATAAAATTAACCATTGTAGTATACTTTGGGGTAGCACCAATAGATTCTGCTATTGTCCTGGAAAGTGAAGGCAAACTGAAAATCTGGGATGATACCTATGTTTTGGGTGTACGAATCTGAGGGAATGTGGTACCATGGAGAAAGAGAGGACTGCCACCCCATTTAAAGTTAAGATGGAACTGCAGATGAAAATTAGGCATGTAAAACAAAGTCATCGAAATGTAACCCCCTTAAGGAAGCAACACTATTTGTGCATAGACTTTTCTGCACCTTACCTGATGTGGCTGATTACCACTCACTTGGTTATTTAGTAAGTGTTTGTTAGTTGGGCATGGTGGTGCATGCCTGCTGTAATCCCAGAACTCTGGGAGACCCAGGCAGGAGGATTGCAAATTTGGTCCCAGCCTGGGCAATTTAATGAGATCTTGTTAAAAAAAAAAAAGGACCAGGGGTGTAGTTCAGTGGAAAAGATGCTTGATCCCTTGGTTCAATCCTTAGTACCCCACTCAGACTCACGCGCGCGCACACACACACACAGTTTGCTGTTCAACAATATAATCAAAATAGTTGAACTGTGAAGTGGAAGTTATATTTATTATTAACAATGAGATATGTCGGATTTGGTGGTGCTGTAATCCCAGCACTCGGGAGGCTGAGTCAGGAGGATGGCCGTGAGTTCAAGGCCAGCCTGAACTACATAGTGAGACCTTGTCTCAAAAAACCAAAAGAAGGGGCAGGGGATTTAGCTCAGTGGTTCCACAGCCTGTCTCACAAGTGCAAGTTTCCAAGTTTGGTCCCTGGCACCAAAACAAATCACAAACAACAAAAACAACAAAATGAGATGTTACTGAGCAAAGCTATCTGAAAAGTGGAAGTCCAAAAGCAAGTGGAATAGCCAAAATGAACTAAATGACAGAATTTTCAGACTTCATTGCCATTTTAGAGAAGAGTAAATTTATATCTGCATGTGGTAAATTACCAGAGCGACTTAAAAAAAATTTCTATCTCCTGTGTTTTCTTAAGAGCCAAGCACTGTACTGTCGAAATTTTAATTTTATTGGCACGGCAGAAAATTCCTCATTTTGTCACACAGGGACATGAGCAGCAAGCAAATGGGATCAACCAAGGCAGAGTCCAGCTAGGCAGGAGATTTGGTCAGGTATGGCATGCTCAGATGACAGATGTCAACCCCAGCGATGCCAACAGGAGCAGGTGTTCTGGATCCAGGCTTTATTGCGTCCCAATTCCAAGAAATCAAATGTGCACACATGAGTAACAGCTGAGGCAGCCAGGCAGCTGTTCAGTAGCACAGACTTAGCGATCCAGGTAGCAAAGAGGCAGGAGACTCCATAAATGTAGCGAGAGGGAGAGAGAGGAGCATGCTGGGAGAAAATGATCTCTTCCAGCCATGATTCATTGTAAGCTTTAGGTAGAAGGCCCTAGAGCTGAGCTCAGAGTCTAGGTGGTGCAAACCCCACTGCAGTGTTGAGAACAGCAAACAGAACCTGGCCCGGGAAAGAACTCTGTCTACAGGGGAGGACCTGCCTCATAGCACTACTCTTAGTTTTATTTCATTTCAATGATTTGGTTAAAATTGTGAGTTCATTTATTTAGACCCTCAAAATCTGCAAAGCTACCAGCTCATTTGGAAAGAACTATGCAGGCTGGAAGTGCTGGTGCACAGTTGTAATCCCAGCACATGGGAGGCTGAGGCAGGATGATCATTGTGAGTTCAAGGCCAGCCTGGGCTACATAGTTAGTTCAAGGCCAGCCTGGAATGCATAGTGAGATCCTGTCTCAAACAAAACAAAACAAAACAAAACAAAACAAAACAGGAGAACATGCAAAGTAAGTAGAAAGAATTTAGGAAAACATCTCAAGAAGTGCATATTTTATATGCATGTTGCAAAATTAAAAGAAATTGGTCATTTCATTCGTGTAGTCTTTAAAAAATAATCAAAAAAGGGCTGAGGATTTAGCTCAGTGGTTTTGCCACCTGCTGTGCAAGCGCAAAGACCTGAGTTCAATTCCTGGTACCAAAACAAACAAACAAACAAACACAAATAATCAAAAAAGAAAAATGTTGACATGAATTCAATTTTGATTTAAAGAAAAAAATATGCTTACCAGGTCCTTTTCTCTTTCCTTTTTTGACAGGAAGTCTCATTTTGTCAGTTGGCAGTTATGTACTCTAGTAAAAGCCATCCGTACATATTTACTTATATTACCAGTTCCAAATTACAAGCATAAAAATACTTATTCATACAAATAATCTCCAGTGATATCAAACTTACATTTATCTGTCCTTTATTGAAAACTTCACAAGTAATTATTAAATACATTTTTATATCCTTTTGCTCTGTAGAGGTTAGATTGAGTAAGCCAATAAAATGAAAGTTAACATACTATTATAGACATTTTAGAGGCTAAATCATTTTTTTATTTTATGAAAAAATAAAAACAAAATTTCATAACAAAATGATAAGAGAATAACAACAGTTAATACACTGCAACATTATCCTCACAGTAGTTACTCAGGGTTCAAGACATAGACCCAAAGGATTCTTACCAAAAAATCCCCAAACAGATAATAACACAGAACTTGCTTTTCAATGAACTAAGATAAACTAGTAGTAAAAATGAAACAAATTAGTATATGTATTAAGAAATTTTTGAAACAATGGAATATATAATTTGGGAAAGTATTTGAACTTCTCCTTATTTCCTTTTTATCTGTCTTCTATCTTGCTCTTTATTTGTGTGTGTGTATATATATGTATATGTATATGTATATATATACGTATATATATATAGTTTCTCATATAAGAGAATGCAGTATTTAAAAGCTGTGTGTCTGACTTATTTCACTTAACATTATGTTCTCAATTTACATCCACTTTCCTACAAATGCCTCCAGCTTATCTTCTTTATGGCAGAATAGTATATAAATACCATTGTATATAAATACCATTTTCCACATCCATTCATCTAGTGATGGATATATATCCTGTTTCCAAGATCTAACTTTATAAACATGGGTATTCATGCATCTTTTTAATAAGATGATTTTAACTCTTTTGGGAAGATACCTAGAAGGGGGAGAGTTGAGTCAAATAGAATTTCTATTTTCAGTTTTTTGAGGACTCTCCATACTGATTTCCATTGTATTTGTAATAGTTCACATTCCCACCAATCTTTTAGTTATCTATTGTTGGAAAAGGAAAACAAAATAAAACAACTTGTTGAGTAGGCCTGACCTGGACTACCCAGAATGTATTTCAAAAACTTCCAGGGCATAAAATGAAGATAAAGTTATTCAAAGTAAAAATACTTTTTAAATTTAAGAAAGTTACAAACTCGTAGGGCAACCAGTAGCATAATTATATAGGTTTCATCTTTCTGCCTCATAAAGGTTCTGGATGTCACACTTCCAAATCCTGTTCTGGGAAACTCATGTATTTAATTCTACAGCTTTTTGTATTCTGTTACTCACAGTTTCTTTTCTCAGATTGATAGTTTTCCTTCTGTTACGTCCTTTGATGTGCATTTAGGGTGGGCCTTTTCCTATGGCTCTTTTTTTTTTTTTTTTTTAAATTCTTTTATTGGTACATTGTAGATATACAACACAATTACATTTCTCATTGGGACTTGTACCTTTACATAATGCATCTTGGTTCTTATTTTTTTCCCATTCCTAGCCCTCCCTTCACCCCCTCCACCCTTCCCTATTTACAAAGACTTTATTTCCATTTTTTCCATTTCCGGCTGATTGCCAGTGGCCACGCCCTGCAGACCAGCCCCTCCCCCCAGCTTCCGGGTGACCCAGGAGAAAATGAGCCAGCTCCGGGCCTGGCTACCTTTCCCTCTTTTCCTGTAATCGTCAGTCTTTAGGGAAATGGAAAGGTAGAGAACTTTTGACCTAACCTATTATTCATGTTATGTGACTACACTTGAGCATATTTTCTTTCTTCTTTTTAACAGATACGAGGCAATTTTTAATCTATAATGAAGATCACAAGCGCTGTGTGGAAGCAGTCAGCCCCAGTGCAGTCCAAACTGCATCTTGCAACCTGGATGCCGAGTCACAGAAATTCCGATGGGTGTCCCAGTCCCAGCTCATGAGCGTTGCTTTTAAATTATGCCTGGGGGTGCCGTCCAAAAGCGATTGGGTTCCTGTCACCCTCTATCCCTGCAACTCCCAGAGTGAAATTCAGAAATGGGAATGCAAAAATGACACACTGTTGGGGATCAAGGGTGAAGATCTATATTTTAACTATGGCAATAAACAAGAAAAGAACATCATGTTGTACAAGGGATCTGGTTTATGGAGCAGGTGGAGGATATACGCAACCACAGATGATTTATGCTCCAGAGGTTATGAAGGTGAGAGACTTGGCATTTTTCATCTTTGTGTCATATTTCTCTCATTTTCTGAGTTGGGGTTTAAGAAAATAACCATGTTATTGTATAGTCCGCATTAGAAATATTAACCGATCACTTTCTTTGTACTTTGACTTTCTGTGTTCTGGAATGTGACACTGAATAAATGTGCTAAAGGTTCCTGAATGAGATTTGAGCTATCTGTGGTTAATATGAAAACATTCTTTTTGAATTTCTCTCTATATTTTTTCAACTTTGTGGTACAATTTTCAGAAAACAATGTTTACTGTAATCTTGACCTAAATCTTCCTATTTAACTTTATAAGATTTAGTGATAAATCTAACCAAACTATTCTTTTCTTTTAAGTTTTCCCTACAGAAATGATCCTTGAACAACATTCTTTATCCATTCAGATTGCCTGAAATTGAATTTTGGCAAATTTCTTGACAGTTTGGGTTTCTAAATGTTTCTGATTTATTTTGCCACCCTTTGGGTATTTAGAGAATATACTGAACAGATTAGAAAAGCTGAAGAATTAGATAATAAATGAACATACACCATACTTAGCTATCTTTTTTTTTTTTTTTTTTTGGTACCTGGGATCGAACTTGGGTCCTTGCGCTTGCACAGCCGGCAGCGAAACCACTGAGCTAAATCCCTGGCCCCATACTTAGCTATCTTTGGAAGCAGTAGCAGTGGTGTGGTGGGAAATCGTTTTATTGAGGTTGGATCCTTGAGCTCTTGATGGTTAAATAAAACCGGAGTATTCAGTCTTCATCTATCCTGGCCAACTTTTATTCTCTGGTGGCCGACGGAAAACAAAACAAAAATAAAAGAAGTTGAAGCCGTTTACAAACACTGGTTTTTTGAGTCAGTTGATACTATAACCCCATTTCAAGTTTGGATACTTGGTTATTGTTGAGTGTTATCTAGGACAACCTCAAGGTCAGAAACAGGGTCTGCCCTTAGGACAGCAGATACTCATTCCCAAAATTACTGTTACTGGGACTGCTAAGATGTGTTGGACCTAGTGTAGCAGCTAAGACCGTGAACAGGAATTCAGTTTTTTGTAAGCAGATAATTTGTCAGCTTTCTATTTGCAGGGACAGTCCAGGTAGATATTGAAGTAGAGTGAGAGGAGGGCTCAAAAAAGAGTCATTTGAAGGAATTTATTGAACATAATGCCTGAATTAGAAATTATAAGAGGCAGCCTAAATAATGAAACCTTCCAAGAGAAATCAATAGAAAATTAAAGGGTAAGACAACGGTGAATTGAACTTGACTGAGTCAGCTTCCACAGATAGGACGGTTGTGCTAGTGGAGGAATTCAATTTGATGAAGACTGGTGCTAAGACATCACTGGATTTTTTAAAAGTACAGTGCCTCAGTTCCCCATCCCCCATCCTTTCTGTTCTTTATGTTTTGAGACAAATGTGCATAGGGTTTGGCCGAGCGGCTGTCATCCTTCAATATGCTTAAGAATCATTCGGAGAGCTTGTTAAAAATGCAGATCTCAGCCCCTCCCCCCATTCCAAATTAGCACTGAAGGGGAAGGGTCTGGGGATGTTTTGAATCATTTTTACAAAGCTCTGGGTGATACCGATGCAGATGGTCCATTGACCACCTTCCACATACTCTCTAATGATCTCCCAGGTTTTAAAATAATCCTGCTGGAAGATCTAGTCCCTCAGAGTGACCTTGAGACCCATTAACTAGAATATACGTTACAACTGACAACAACTTGAGTTATAGTTATTTTAGAGTAATAAAATCAGAACTGTGGACTTGGATGGATTTGAAGGTTGTACAGAAGTTTGGACCACATGAGGAAGAGTAATTTAACTGCAGTTATATGATTCTTTAATGAGGTAGCTGGGGTGGAGCTTTGTTCTTTCAGTCTCATTAGTACCTGGTGTATAGAGTGGTTTAATAAGTATGAAATAAGCCATTAGTCCTGAAAGAGCCTTTTTGGATTGGCATCTATAAACCCAGTAAGAAATTTTCTTGACCAACTTAATGAACAGTGCCGCTAGCCCCAAAGAGGTCTTTATAGGTTTTCTTCGTAGAAAGGTACAGGTATCCCAGTGACCAAGAGTTGGCATGATTCTTTCCGAATCAGCACGTAACTCACACAATTTATAATTTGGAAAATTAGCCCTGTAATTTGGTGGAACTAATAAGAGAACAGCATTTTAAAGTTATTAACAACTAGCTAGTTGATAAAAAAAAGTAATTTTGAGATAATTAAAACTAAACCTAGGTGGGATAAGTATAATGAGTAAAAGAAAAGGACAAAAAGGGAAGGAATTAACATTTATTGTCTCCTTAATGTGTGCTACATGTCTTACAAACTTCATATTATCTAAGCGACTTAGTGTCTTTTAAGAACTTTTTCAAGTCACAAAATCTTTGGAATGTAATTTAGAACTCTTACCTAGGTTAAACTCTGAATGTCAACTGGTAGTATAAAGTTAATGTAAAGGGTTATTATCTCCCAAAGTGGGGACCTTTACAGAGATAAAGACTTTAAATGTCCCAAAGAATGTATCTACATGAGTCATTGTCAGTGGGGATAACTATGAGGGTCTCTAGGCCTTTTGGTTTAAGCCAAACCATTATAACAGTGGCTCTGGCGGTGTGTGGTTCATGGTCCCGTCATCCCAGGATGCTGGGAAGCTGAAACAGGAGGATTACAAGTCTGAGCCCAGGCTGAGCAGTTTGGCAAATTATTAAGAGCCTGCTCCAAATAAAAAATAGAAAGAGCTGGAGATATAGCTGAGTGTGAAAGCTCTGGGTTCAGTTCCCTGGGCTACAAATTTTACAAAAATGAGTGTCAATTGTAGATAGTATCTAGTGGTTTTGAGTAGTTTCTTTTCATGATATGAACGAGAGAACTAGCCAGAATTCCTACCCTTCCTCATAATCATTGTTACAGAGGCTGGCGGGACAGGAAAAGGTTGGAGGGAACTTACAGTCACCTGTATGCTTGGGCCACACAGCTTTAAAGTTATTTTCAACCTAACTGTTCAATCATACTATGGTTTTAACCAAGAGGAAGGATGGGCTTCCCTTGGTTTTAGAGGAAATGCAGAAGTTAGCACTGGTGTCAGTAGAAATGACTTGTTATTTTGTAAGAGGAAGGAGGAAAATCTGTTTCAACTGACGTGGAAATGTAGTTCCTTAGTAGTCTGCCAGAGGTGTCCGGCAAAAGACTGGAATACAGGTTGAAGAGGCGACGGGTCTCTCCTGGACGGGTACACTAAGAGCGATTAAAAGAGCAAGACCAGTTCTTGCAACAGACTCCTTATGGGAAAGCCAGCGTTCAGAATTCCCACTCTGGTTCTAAGTGCAAATCTGTTTCCATAGCCATGTACACGCTGCTGGGCAATGCCAATGGAGCCCCCTGTGCATTTCCATTCAAGTTTGAAAACAAGTGGTACGCAGACTGCACAAATGCTGGCCGGTCGGATGGATGGCTCTGGTGTGGGACCACCACAGACTACGACTCCAATAAGCTGTTTGGATTTTGTCCTACGAAATGTAAGTGACCATTTATCAAGAAGAGTCTGACACACTTACTTGGGCTAGCAGGTGAAGAGACCTGTGTTTACCTAGACCGTTTCCTCCTCCAAGTTATTTCACATACTTCATCCATTGTATCCTGCCCCAGCTCTTTACAGCTGTCATTGTTCCCATTTTACAATGGACAAGATCCTGGTCCTGGGCTTTTTGGTGTGTAATTTGTATGCCTCCGGTTCTATTAGAAATGAAAGTTCAAGTGTTATTTCCATTGTGCAGAAAATGTTATGTTAGCAGGAAGCAGTACAGCTTGCAAATTCTTGGTTAAAAACAGGTAAAGAAACAACAGCACAGCTGGTTTAGGTGGGATGGAGGAGGACCTTCGATTTGGGAGCAGATCTGGGCTGAAGAAAGGAAAGGATGAATTCTTTGCTTCACTTTCCCCACCGCACACATCCTTCCCCTGCCAGTTTCTCATTTCCCAAGCTTCTTACCCTCTGACCTCCTTAACGTGCTGTTTCAGATTAGATCCGAGCAGCTCCATTTTCCTGCCATCACACAGAACTCTGTACTTGCAGAGAGGTAGGGGCCAGGATGGGCACAGTGTGGTTCAGGAAGGTCGTGTGGCTACCAGGACTGCAATAGCACCACTTAACTGCTAAATGTCGTCACCACAAACCCACGCATGAATGCATATAACAAGACAAAAATATCTTCATTTCATTTGTTAAATTGAAGCCAGGCTTCTAAGAATGCTCCTTACTTATCTCTTGGGATTTGTTTCCCCTAATCATTCCACTAAAGGTAAATTTGATTGCTCAATCCCGCCGACCATTGTGTTTGTCTTCTTGGAGCCACCACTCTGCTTAGGCTAAATGCCCATAAAGGTGACAGGCTTTTGGTTCACTATGACACTCCTCGCTGGTCTTGACTAGGGCAGATAGATCTATGTGCCTCTCTTCTATCAGTATTTAGAGATTTGATTCCAGTGAAAGGTTTATAGATGTCTCATTTTTGCATGAGAAATCTTTTTGTCTGAAGAAAAATAAAACCCTCTTTTTTTTTTAATTTAAAAGATAAAGCAGTCCTTGTTTAATGATTGAAGAGCGTCATTCACTTTCATTTAGTAGGAATGATATTTTCTAAATCTATTATGGGAATAAGAATATGTATCTCTTGGGTTGAATATAGCATCCTCCACTTCAGTGATATTGACAAAGGAAGTGTTGGATGGATGTGTGATTTAATGAATGAAATGTTGGAGGACAAATGGTAATCTGCTAATCACAAAGAAATTCACAACCTTGGAGATCCTTGGTTATACACTGGAGCAGTATCCTGAGTATATTCAGTTGAATAATTTTGTTCCTGTATCCCTTTACTTATTTATATATTGTTTATTAGGACATTTTTATAGTCAGTAGAGTAATTTTTGATCACATTACTTCTGAGTTTGGTGTTCAAAACCAAATTGTGCGTTTTTCTTTGTTAAATGCAAAAGTAAAATAACTGTACAAAATTAAAACATTGTTTGATTTCAAATTTGACATTTAAATTTAAAACACAGTTTATAAATTTCATCCCAAAAGGGGTTTGTAATTTCACAATCTCTTTCAGTTTTTTGTTCCTTCCAAAAGACTATTTTGTCTATAATAGCCTTAAACCAGTAGGTTCAGTAGAGGAAAATGGTTAGTTATTGACCCTAAATTTATGCTCATCGTTGTCCTTTTCATTGTTTATTGTGATGTCTTCTTTCCATTTTGACATTTAAAATATCTTGAGAACAGGAAGAGGAAAAGGCTCTGCTCTCAATTTTCCATAGCTTGCAACTTTAGCTTTCAACATCGCTTGTGATGGGAGAGGCTTGAACCCTTTGGGCTGACGTTGTACAGTCAGCAAACTTATACAGTCATTAGAGAAATGTTTTAATTCCTTGATCTAAAATGCAAACGTGCTTTCTTCAAATGAAGAGTTGAATTTTCTTCTTTGTTCATTTATAACCTTTTCCTCTATTTCTGGACAAGAAAATAATCCTTCTGTTCATCTCTTACATTTCCTACCGTGTTATAAACAAAACTTCCACATTTCTAAAAATATTTGCTTAAGCCATCTGCATCTTCACATATACCCCAAATAAGTTTCATGTGGATGATCTCACTTACATAGACATCAAACTTAATAAGGCCTTAGATGTAATTTAAGTTTAACATTACTAACTGAAATTGATCTTTATGTCAACGTGTAATGACTTTGCAGTTATTTTAGGGCTGGGCACTTGGAGTGCTTGCCTAGTGTGGTTTGATCCTGAGCGTCATACAGATAAAAAAAAAAAGAAATATTTATGCTGTTGCCAGAATCAAATTCTAAAGTATTTTTCTTCCTCTTTGATGCACCATTGACCATAGATTTCCTATCACAGGGTATGATATGTGTAGGACAAAAAGTCTGTGGTCCTCAGGTACAAAACACAAGTGAATCCTGAGTTAGGAATCCCCACAGCATGGGCTAAATGCTTATGGAAAACTCTGAAATTCTCAGCAAGTGGAGTAATTCTAAAGGAATGTGAGAAATTACATAACCCTTTTGTCTCTTCCTTTCAAATAAATGGAGAGATGCTTTCTTCCATGACTTATAAGTAGAATTTTATATTATTTAAAAAGGGAAATTTTCACACCATGAAACCTATGAAAAGATCTCATTTCTTTACTAACTTCTCAAACATCTTGCATGTAAAGGGCTATAAATAATATTTATCTATGGTACCTTATTAGTGGTGGTATCTCATAGAATACACAAAGTTTATGGAATATATTGGGGATTGTATTCTCTCTCCATCTCACCATTATTTGCAGATTAAGAATGTTGAGCTGGGCACTGTGGTTCACACTTGTTATCCCAGATTCTTGGGAGGCTGAGACAGGAGGATTACAAATTCGAACCCAGCCTGTGCAACCTAGTGATTTAGGGAGACCCTGTCTCAAAATAAAAACAAAAAGTGCTCAGTATAAAGGCCCTGGATTCAATCCTCAGTACTAAAAAAAAATGGTGGGCTGATCTCTCTCTTTTTTATCTTTATATTTGCCTTGCTTCCTAACTTATCTGATCCAAGGGAGATGAGGCCTTCCTTTTTTTCTTTTTAAATGTATCTATTAGTTGATATGTATATTTTTTAATTTCAATTTTTATTAACATGTTTGCAGTACACCTTTTTATTTTGAAGGGACAAAATGGGGCTGATACTTTGAACACCCTGTTCATTCCAAGAGTGAATAAAATCCAACTGCCTTTAAAAATAAGTGAAAGAAAAAAAAAGGGAAAGAAAAAGATATGAAATAGTTTGAGTAATCGTGCTATTAGGATGGCTTAAAAATATTGTTCCCCAGAAGTGCTTCCAATACTTAACGCAGCAAATTCCATTTGACTGTTTGTGCAGCTGAGGATAAATTATGGACTAAAGACCCACTGACTAGCATCCTTTACCAGATCAACTCCAAATCCGCGCTGACATGGCAACAGGCGAGGAAGAGCTGCCAACAGCAGGATGCTGAGCTCTTGAGCATCACTGAGATTCACGAGCAGACGTACCTGACAGGTAATACCATGCAGACCAAGCAAAATTGTAAGCACATCATGATTACGTTATTTCTACATAATTTAATTTAAAAGTAGGCAGTGACAGTGATTCTAGGCATCCTGATAGAGATGTTTGTTCCCGAAGCAGATAGGACACATGGTAGGACAAATCCATACTCTGAAACTGACCCCAGGGACAGGAAGTAGGTCTCATTTCCCATGCTGACTTTGTTCCATTGCTTGTGACTGTCTCTAGAGCCTGTGCTAAGAGGGACCCTGAAGACTAATTGGCCATAATCGATTAGTGATGTTCCTGGACACAGGCAGTGGCATCAAGTAGTCAGTACCCTGGTCTCACCGGAAGTCAGAGGTCTTTCTTTAACATCATAGAGTCTGAGATGATTCAATGAAATACTGCTACTGTCAGCCGACCCAAATCAAGAACTGCTTTGAAATCCCAAGTCCTCTTTGCCTCCCGTCTCCCCAACTTTTGGACACCATAATTTTTCACATCTTATCAAGATCCTTTTCACAATATGCTTTAACATCTGTTGTGAGATTGTAAAGATTAGAAAAGGGAATGTTTGCTTGAGAAGAGAGTATCTGCTTTAGCATCTAAAATTCAAACGTGGGGAGACAATTCAGGATGAGAAATCAGTGTGGGGAGAACCACATGCTGTTGCCTGCCTTCAGATTCTCCTCCCCTGATTTCACCCTGATACCATTAGATCAATACACCTCTGACCCTGTGGACTCCACGTTCACCTTTAGTGGCTTCTCATTTCCTGTCAGATGGCTAATTAAACACCTAAAGGTTGTCAGTGGTCTACCTACCACCCTTGTCTCCTTCATGCATTTTGTCATCTTGACAAAAGAGAAGTCTCATGTTCCTCATAGATGACATCGATATCTCATAGTTCTCTAGTCCCACATCTTTTTCTATGCCACTAAAAAGAAATCTAGAATTCCCCAATTTTTATACAGTGAAAAAAGAATCTGTTCCATTTCTGTTATCTATTTACCACCCTTATAAAAGCTACTTACATATATGTCCCATTTCCCCTACAAGAACACAGACATTCTTTGTCGAATGGCTGAGTTTCGTTCCTGTGACTAGGTCATTAAATTGGTCACTAAATGAGGAATTGTATGCAGTATGTACATTATAATATTCAGAACAAAGAAATGGTCAAAGGAAACTCCAACTTGATGACTCTGCTTTTATTTACATAACTCTTACATGCATTAGTGCTGTAATGTGTAACAGAACATAGAACTATAGTACTGTGCTATACAGTACAATCAGCAAAAATTACAGTACTGTATAAACAAGGTATACTGTATACAAAAAGACATTGTGGCCCTATAAAGATGTACAAAACTGTATAAAAAAGGGCAGATCTTAAGTCTGACCAGTGGGTCATAAGCCTGAACAGCCATTAAACAGGTTGTTTGTTAAATGAGGAATATCTAGATGCATACATTATTTTTTTTTGTTTGTTTCTTCATTCATTTAACTAAATATCAGGTGTGCCAGGCATTGTGTTAGGTTCTGGGACCCAGAGTTGATGCTGTTCTGTCCACATAGAGCTTAAAGAGCAATGGGGAAAACAGATGTAAGCATAAATGAGATGAGTAGGTACAAATGCCATGCAGGAAGCAATGAGCGCCGTGTGGAGAATGGAATTGGGAGACAGAAGCTGACAGTGAGGAATGAATAGCCTGTGAATATGAGTCCCCTACACCTCACAAGGAGATTCATATAGAATCTTCCAAGGAAAATAAAAATAATTATTTAGAAATTCAGCCTAACGTTTGGACAACTGGACAGTTTGTGGCAAGATGACCTAAGTGCATTGGTTCTTAAAAGTGCAGTTGCTTATTTGTCATCTGGGAATGCTGCTAGAATGAAGAGGCCAGGCCCAGGCTTCAGGGATGCTAGATCAGCACCTCTTTCCGGGATCTGCATTTTGTCCACCTCTTAGGGGTTCTGGTGCAGATGGTTGAAGGACTCTATTGGCATAACTGTGTGTTAGCACCTGTTGAATTCAGGCACTGATACCAGGAAGCAGTGTATCCCAGGCATAGAGTAGGTGGGCAGTTTTGGGGCACTCCTGGAGGCTTCCATGCCTCAGTGGCCTGATGTGTTAAGGGTATGAGTATGAACCACCGGGAGGACCACAGCGTATCTTCAGTCTTGCTTGCATTCCCCGTACTTGCATTTTCCCAGCTGTTGTGGGGAATCACACTCCTCATCAGCTGTAACACATTTCTCTGTTAGGTTGTCATTAGATGGACAGAGCAAGGGGAAACAGTATGGCCTTGCAGTGGTCGTGCATATGCTTAGATTTGAAGGAAGAAATTCTGCCTCTGTCTGCTCAGCCATTCTGCTTTGTGCTGGTCTCTGGGACCTTTCTAATACCAGGACACGTAGCCGAGCAATTGATCTTTACAACCAGGAGTAAAAATACAGAGAAAGAAAAGCCATGGAGAGAGATGAATATAAATTCATATAGACAATGAAGGAATAGAAACAGGCAATTGAAGACAATGCTCGGGCCATTTTGCACAGTTACACGCAATGCAGAAACACGGATCAAGGTTGAAATGGCTGCATTTGGTACCAGTTCTTTTTTGAAATCTGAATTGTGTTTTCTTGACTTTTCTAATTTTTAGTTGTTTTCTGGCCTTCCGGAAGCCAAGGCACGGACCACAGACAGCTCTTTAGTCTGTCTTCCCGCTGCCTAGAAGGAAAGAGGGAGAGGGGGAGACAGTGGCTCTGCCTGGCTAGACTCATTAGAGTGACGTGAGCCTGGCTGCTGGGGGAGCCAGCACGTCCCGTCCCCAGACTGCAGGGCTGACTTCACCTCAGTTGCCTACTTGAATCTTATTCAAGCCTCTGGGATTCTAGTCAGCAAATTTTAACTTCAATCTGGATAAGAATGAATTTTCTGAAGAGATTTGGAGTACTGCTTGCCTTTCTGTAAGTCAAAAATATCCTGCAATGAAAAAAAAAAAAGCCTGACAGGAAATGTAAAAGATAAACTAGAGGACAGACATTCCTTTGTTTTCTGGAAGAAAGATATTTGCAACACTTGATATTAATTGAGATAGATTGAGGAAGAATCTAGAAAACAATGGTCTGAGTGTTTGTGATCTGCTCTGTTTGGAAATACGCTCTTAAAATGAAAAGCCACAAATATTTAGACTTTTAAAGTAATTAAGATAAAGCCTGGAGATGTATCTCAGTACTTTCCTAGCATACACAAAGCCCTGGGTTTAGTTCTACTAACACACACACACACACACACACACACACACGCACGCACACGAAGTAAGTAAAGTTTATTTTCTGTGCGGATTTTGAGAAGTAAATACTTTTTAAAAATACGTAAGTCCTTTTGATGATTCTGGGATTAAATGCACTGTCATTTATTGAACAGCTGCTGTGTGCCAAACACCAGGCTTTATTTCGGAAGCACCCAGCAACCCTGTAAATAAATATTCTTTTCCCCATTGTTTATAGATGAGATGTTAGGCCAGGAAGGAGAAGTTAGGAAACATGCTTACTGCTTCATGTTCAGACACTGGCTGAACTGGAATTCAGTTGTCTTCCACGTCACCTGCCTGTGTCTCACTAAGTAAACTTAATTTATACATTGACACTTTGCTTCAGTAAATGTATTTATTCCAAACTGGTGATCTGATAGCATAGGATCTGAAGGGCAAAACATTTCTGTTCATCCCTCCACAGCCATCTCATCATCTTTACTTATGTTTCTGCCTCTCTGTAAATCAAATGGTTAGGACCTGATTTAATCTCAATTAGGATTTATAGAACTGAAATAGGACAGAGGAAGTGAAATTTTGCTTGTTACCCTGATTGTTTTTACCAGTTTTCTTAGGAACTACGTAGAAGTCAAATGGAACTTTGTAGAGAGATGAAAATAAAAATACCATTGTAATACTGTTCATTAATGTGTGTCCTGCCATAACTAAGGCCGCAGGTAGGCACATAACAATTCCTGCAGAAAGACTGAAAATTTAAAAATTTAGGACGTGTACACATGCTTTATACAGTAACCCTAAAGAATTTTGTTATACTTCTTTGTAAATTTAAAAATGACTATTAGAGAAAAAAAATTGTGGATGGTTCTCATAGGCTTTGAACACTATCCTTTTGTGGTTTGGTAGTGCTGGGATGGAATTTAGGACCTCAGGCTGACTAGGCAAACACCTCCAGCCTATGCTGAATGATGCATTTAACCTGAGGTTTGAACTTTGTTTCTAAATCATACCTTTTGCTAACCCTAATTCTACAGGAAGCTAATAAAAATGATGATAATAATAGCCACCATTTACATTTATTGAGCACATACTATATGACCGATCCTATTTTAAGAAGTGTTAATTATTCAAGACCACCTTAGAAGTACCTAGAGCTGATGAAGCATATCAAAGGAAGATAGTTGCCTTAAAGAGCTATAATCAGCTGGACTATAATCAGTGCTGCTGTATATCTGCAATTCTGGCATTCTGGGAGGCTAAGGCAGGAGGATTATAAATTTGAGCCCAGATCGGGCAACTTAGTGACTGAGTGACTGTTATTAAGTAATAATAAGGCCCCAAATATAGTAATTTAGATAAGCAGTAAAAAATGTATTTAATTCTTCTTTACCCAGTGTATTATTTATAGTTTTAAAACTGATTTATGCTTATTTTCTTACCTGATTCATTTTGTAAGATCCGCAAGAAGTTGATTTTGAGAACAGCTTTATTTAACATTTTTGAAATGCTACTTGTAAGACTATTTCCTTTGGTACATACCCCTGGAGGTATAGAGAGAAATATTATTCAAGTTAGTACAACTTTGAAGGATTTGTGAAAATCATCCAATATTCATTAAGAATTAATAAAGTAATTATTAACATAAAGAATGTCATGAGTATAAAACTAGCCTCAGACTATTCCTAAGGCACAGTCTGGCAAAGAGATGTCTCCTCTTGACACCTTATGTGTAATGAGCTACGATAACACCCTGCGGTTGGTTTCTTTACCTTAAAGGGCAAAAAAAATAATATGGTACTCAAAATAATTTTAATAACTGTGTGTGAAATAATGAAATAAAATAAGTAATTGATGACATGAATAACTATAAAATTATCTTAATTTAGAAGAATTCATTGTTGTTTTTAAAAAATTTTAGTTTGTCAGTGCATGTGTGTAGTACGTAATATTCACATTCTTTGTGGGAAGCTGGTTCATGTACAGAACACATCTTAATTTCTTTTCTCATCCTCTTTCCTTTCCTTCCCTCCCCACCCCCACCCCCCCATCCCTCGATCTCTTTCTTTTTCTTTTTTCGTACATATTTGCAGTATATAATGTTTACATTACTTATATGGAGTTTTTTTTTTTTTAAGTGAATGTGGCCATGCTTGATAAAGTTAATCTCAGATTTAACACTAAACAAAGTTCCTGTTTTGATAATATTGTTTCCTTGGTAAAGCCTTATGATAAATATTTCTATATTTGGAGGGTAAAATTCTAATGTCAAAGAACCAAGTTCAGGAATGAACTTCAGAGTGGGCTACTTTTTGGGAGTAAAGATTATGTAGTAGAACTGCCTTTGTAGCAAGTGCAAGGTTCGATCCCCGGTACCAAAAAAAAAAAAAAAAGACATGTAGTAGATGTATCTGCCTAGTTCATCCCTCTTTCCTTAAATGTGCTGTACTATTTAAAATTACCCAGAAAATGTATTACAGGAATAACTCACAGGCACATTTAGTTTCAACAAGGATTACTATCCACTGGAAAAACTAAGTCAACCCTTGTGTTCCAATCCTGTTCCACTAATATTTTATTTTTCTCTGTGCAATTTGTTCAACATCTGTTCTCCTCTGTGAAATAAAGGAACTGGACTAGAGATCTCCCAGAGTACATAAAGTACCTACGTGAGGGAGCTATGCTAGCTCTTGAACTTTTTCCTAGTATTCTTAATGAAAATAAGTGGATTTGAGTTCATTTTTATCGATTTTTTACATGCCAGCCTTTCATTCCATCCTATTTGTCTTTCATGACTTGATTTGAATAAATCACACTTCCATTTGGTATAGAGGTCATTTCAGTTTGTTAAGCCTCAGTCTACCTAATCAATACCCACCTAATCAGTATCCTTAAGGGGATTTCTCTCTGCCAGATGGGGACCAGGTCATAGGGCAGCACGTAGATCCCATGCTGTCCTAGAGAACTGAGTGCAGTAAATGTGAAACCTGATTTTTGGCCAGAAATCCCAGTGCCCCTTTCATTCATTTCAACCGGCGACCTGAATGTGTGTACATACAAGCTCACAAAAAATAGTAAAAACTTCAGTGGCTTTGCGACATCAGAGTGACTTTGGTTATATCAGAAATATGGAGTCTGAATTTTGAATCATATGGACTTGAGTTCAAGTTTCTGCTCTGTTGTGTCACTTAAACTCAGTATTTTCATCTACGATATGGAGATGATTCCTAATTCATCGTTTATCAGGATTAAATGAACAAATACAGTGCATACAGGGCACTGACTATTGTAAATGATCAATAATTGATAACTCTTACTAATTAATTGGGGAATCTGTCCTACAGATGACATAAACTCGATCATTTCTGTTTACTAACATAAACACATACTTGAGGTTGATTATTTTATTAATGCAAAGGATAGTTGTTTTAAAAAAATTGTTCTTAATCAATTAAAAGAATTTAGAGAGAGGGAGAATTCCTAACCATGGTTTTTAAAAAGATACAGGCAATAGGAGGTTAGAATTTTTCACAACGGTAGGCTCATGTTTTTTCCTTACTTCTTTCTATATCAGGCCTTGTACAATTTGAAATATTGTAATTATGATTTACTATCTGCCTAAATAAAGCATTGTTCATATTAGCATAAACATTTAGTGTTTTGCTTTTAATCATCATTTTAAGAAGAAAAATTGACTTAAAAATCATAAAATCCTTAAAATAAATTCTGAATTATGAGGTTCAGGTAATAACTTACGAACATGATAGGTTGAAATGTTTATTAAAATTTTTCACCACAGAAAACTTCGGCCTTTATGTAAATATTATTTTTAATCTCAAGTGAAGTAAACATGCCATTATCTAATGATAGCCAGACACAGTTGTGTTTAGATGGGAAGCACGTTCATGCTACCCTTGAGAAAGCATATAGTAGTCAAGATGGAGGCGCTTGCAGCACTTAGATCCGGGTCAAAGCCTTAGCAAGAATCTTAGCCTGTACACTCTCTGCTTCGGTTTCTTTACCTGTCACTGGACATGATGGTTGTCCCTGCTTTAGATCACTAGGAGAGTCAGAGGAGACATATTGGGCCTGATGATTGTCACTCCCCTCAATTACATGTATATTTAAGCACTTGGTTCTCAGTTTCATTTCACTGCCCTTTCTGAATGCCACTTTTGTTTTGCTTCTTATCACGTAGGATTGACCAGTTCCTTGACTTCAGGACTCTGGATTGGACTCAACAGTCTGAGTTTCAACAGTGGTTGGCAGTGGAGTGGCAGCAGTCCGTTCCGGTACTTGAACTGGTTGCCAGGTAAGGCTAAGCCTGTCTGGGATCGATTTCACCCAAGTTTTATTCACCTGGATATGATGGAAAACTCTGGCATCTCCAATGTAGATCTCAAAGAGAGGAACTGGAGACTTCATCCTACATACTCCATTTCTTATTTTTCTTTGAAGTCTGCCAGCTGGACTTGAAGATTCTAAAGCTGCAAGATTAGATAGTGCCAGGTCCCCGGTCAAGGACTTTTTGCTGGGATTATTGCACAAATCAGTACAAGCCAGTTTAAAGTATTCTTGATTGTTAAGGCATTATATTCAAAAGCAAAGTTTATAGCTACTGTTAAGCATGATTTATTAAATATATTAACAACTGTTACTGTATATTTGATTTTATATCAACCTTCTTATAATCCTTGAAAGAAATACCCAACAATTATTTGTAAAGACTGAAAAGATGCTTCCAAATCTGTGTGCATGACTCACCTTTGAATCTTTTGTCCTAACTTTTTGAATTTCTAGACATTTCAGTTCAAATGCTTATGTATAAATATATACTTATGATTTATAACATATATGCAACACACATAGTAGCCAAAGATTTTACACATCTATATTTATATCCATGGATTCACACCATGAATTTAAATGACCTGAAAGCATTCTGGGTTGGCAAATTTCTGACTATTTTGAGTTGTGAGATATTTGAAATATTGCTGTCACTGTGGCAAAGACGTTGAGGTCTCCATTCACACCATCTTCTCCTGTTTTAACCTAGAGTTGGATTAAAAATACTGTCTCAGTCATAAGCTATAATGTTACTAGCTAGCCTAAAAATGTACTAGCATAAAAATATATTAGCATTTGTCAGCAATTTGTAGTTTGTACAGAGTCAGGGCATAGATAAATATTCAACAGCTTTCTAATTTTCTGGAGGGCAGAAAATTCTGGAACTAATTATTTCTGTGGTGTCCTAACATACATGTATCAGAACTAAAAGAAGACTAATTACTGAATGGATGTTACGTGTAGAAACAGCCAGTCAGAGAAAATGAAAGACCAATGCTGAAACGTTTTTATCTATTCTCTAATTAATACCCACTGTTGTTAGTAGCTACCTGAGGATGTTGATTATCATTCCAACCCCCATCTCAGTGGCAATCTTGGTTAGAGGAAAGAGTGCAGTGAGCGATTAGTGATGTCTGCCATGAATGTAGGATAGGAGAAAAGTAGCCAATTGGTTCCATCTTTGAAGACAGTTGTGATATGGTCTTCTTTGATATGCTTAGATTTCTTTTTTAAAGCCAGTGAGTGGTTTTTGCATTTGGCTTAAAAATTAAACTTTCTATTTTCTACATTGAATTGTATTAAAAGAGAAAATCTTTGATAAAACAGTATCCCAAACAGACACAGAAACATGAGTGGAAATTTTCAGGGTTTACATTTTGGTTTAAATTGACTAGATTTTACTATGAAATTCTACTTTCAGTGCATTATGGCCACAGGGCTGTTTGAATTTTTTTTTTTTTGCATGTTAAGCATTTGCTCACCCACTGAGCCACTCCACCATCCCTGGTCCATGAATCTGAAAATGCTAGTAAGCTATATTTATGGAAAGTAAATATTACTGCAAGGAAATATAAGATGTCCCTTTTTATGAGTGAATATTGTCTTCCTACTCTTCCACTCGTTTAGACAATAATAATTTATTAAGAGACTAGAGTCCATTCTCTTAATTCTCTTCGTGGCTAAGTCATACAATATTAAGTGGTCATTTTCTTTATTATTCAATTTGGGGGCAAGGGTGATGATATTTAACCTCTTCTATTCTAAAAGTTCAGCGAGACAATTTGGGAGTTAACTTTGGTGCAGATGAGGATATGAAAGTGGAATATTAATGAGAAAAGAAATAAAAAGTTTTTCTTGTTAAACCAAACTCCTGTGAAGTAGGTGCAAGATTAAATCACCTTCTCAAAGTATGACCTTCAAACATAAAATTAGAAACCTTATGGAATATTATAAGCTGCTTTCACATAAATTGTTCAGCCAAATGTCTCAACTGAGCACTTGCCAAGGTAATACATCTACTAAAATACATTTACATTTCAGGTGAGGACATTTTACATAAATGGTGAAAAGCACTGAGTGATATCTGAAAGTTCATGGTGTTGTTGTATTAATAACAAATATACATGACTTGCTAATGAGTATACCAATAACAATTAGCTATAAAATGTATTATTATTTTTTTGGAAGTTTCTTTCTAGTACTGACACCTTATCTGCTCTGTGTTTTTGGTCACAATATGAACACATTTTAAAACTGTCATTGGACTTATTTCTAACAATCTTTTTTGTTTTGTGCTTTTTAAATAACCTTAAAATCTTTTTGATAAAGACTCTGTGGAGCAGGTAATGTGATTTCCATCTTCTAGGAAGAGAAAGTGAAGTGGAGACAGCTTGTATACATATCAGAGGTCACAAAGCAATATTACTAGTCAAGTGTAGCTTATTTGTCCCAAGGTCAGGTGTAAATTGTAGCTGTTTTTGGAGCACTGGTTATAAAATCATGTATCAGAGTAGCAAAGAGCATGAAAAATGTAGGTATTGATGCATGTATCCATTGCATTGGCAATGTTGATTCTGTTTATTTGATCAGTTCTCATTGGGAAATGGACATGACATTGCCTCCTGAAAGTATTCTTCAGTGGATTGAGTTGAAGATGATGTGCTGCGATTCCAGATCTCCCTTCTATTACCATTGCCACTGCTATGCCTTTTCTTTTCTGTTTCTTCTGCCTGAATGGAAGTTTCCCTATGTTCGGATTCCCTAGCTTGGTTCGCACAGTTAGCTTGACTTACGTTTTCTGTTGTTTGTTTGGTTTTGTACGTATGTATTGACAATGTTTAATATGGCTAGTTTGGAGCACCATATATTCTTTTAGTTAGGTATCTGAGATACATAATGTATTCCAGTGTGACAGCTGTTTAAAATATTAGATTTAGGTTCATCACTTGATGATGGGGAAAACAATTATTGCAAAGAAGTATACTTTAATAATCAACATTTTAGGCATTGGAATGATCCACCAACAAGGACACAAATAGATACCCATCATGTCTTTTGCTCTGCAGTCAGTAAATATTTATTTATGAATGTGTAGCAGAAGACAGACTGGGGATCCATTGAATCTCAAAGATCAAGACTCCAGGCTGGGGGGGAGCTGTCTATTTGGAATTCCTGTCACAGTCTCACTTTAACTTTTTCATTTTCTCAAAGGAAGTCCATCAGCTGAACCTGGAAAAAGCTGTGTGTCCCTCAATCCTGGAAAAAATGCTAAATGGGAAAACCTGGAATGTGTTCAGAAACTGGGTTATATTTGTAAGAAGGGCAACAGTACTTTGAATTCTTTTATAATTCCTTCAGGTAAGTGATCTATTTGAAGTGCATAAAACAGTAGAAGTTAAGAATAAATAAAATTATAGTTCAATTATAATTTGCATGAAATGATTCCAGAGGTTTTGTAAATGTAATGGTATTTGTACAGTATTTTGTTGATTATTACTACTGGTTGCTAATGTTTTCTGAGTTTGCAACAGTGTTTGGGCATTGTGTAAAGCTTTGCCATAAATAAAAATTTTATCTTCCCATGGAAGGGTTATCTTTATTACATCTTTATGGATCAGTCAAGGCTCTATTGCTTTTTTTTTTTTTTTTCTGTATCGGGGATCAAACTTGGGACCTTGCACTTGCAAGGCAGGCATGGTGCCACTGAGCTAAATCCCCACCCCAGGGCTCCAGTGCTTTTACTGTAGGCTCTTACCTGGAAGCCTCCACAGAATGGATAAAACACATTAAAGCAGAAACACAATGTTACATGGATAGGCTAGGCTCCAGGAAAAAAACAAGGGATGCTCTCTATTATAATTTTATAGAATATTAAACTGCTAAGGTAAAGGAGCTTTTTCTTCAAAGTGATAAAAACAAACTTCATTTGTGTACCACCAACCAGCTGTTTTTGGCGGGATTATGAGTGTTTTGTATAGTTTTTACTTATTTTTTCTGCTTGGGAAACCTGACAGTGTAGCACTCTCCTTGACTTTTAGAAACAATTTCATTTAAGTATGAATGATATGGATAGAAATTGAAAAGATACTAAATGAGAATAATACTTTTCTCCTACCTCTTACCTCTACCTAGCTCCCTGGAGAATCAGTTTCTGAACATATATATCCTTATGTAGTTATTCTTGGAATATGTGAGCAGATGTGTTTATAATTATTTTCATCTGCTTTATACAGATGACAACATACTATCCACATAATTGTTATACTCAACTTTTCACTTACTAACAATTTTGCCATCACTCTACAGAGTATATAAATAGCTTCTGCACTCATTTTTTAATGGCCAAATAATAGCCATTGCCTGGGAAAATTATATATATATTGTTGGCTGGTCCTGTGTCAATGGATTTTCAGTTTACTTCCAATTTTTGATCATTATAAATAATTCTGAAATAAATAACTTTATACACATGTCATTTCATGCATGAAATAAATCCTAGAACAGGAGTTGCTGGATCAGAGGGTAGGTATGTTTGCCATTTTAATAGGTACAGGTATGGCTGAGCTCTCTAGTGTACTTCACAAACTCTGGAGGATGATTGGGGACAAGCCTTAGAGATCTCTCAACAATTTTTGCTCTTCATCTCCACTACTCCTCCTCTAGGCAGAGTAGTATAATTCTTCTTTCTTGGAAGGGCTTATCCCAGTGGTGGCAAACCTGTGGCACACGTATTGTTTGTCTTTTAAGACAAAAGATGTTAACGTATGAGTTGCTTTTTATAAACTAAAACCTCAGTATTCAGGTTTAATTACAGAGCTGGCACTTTGTGATAGATAAGTGTTTTTCGAGTTGCAGTCTGGACACTTGTCTCTGAAAGATTCACCACCACTGACTTATACAGTTCTCTTTCAAAGACCTGTAATTGCCATTTTGAGAAGAAGATAAATGTTGTTTTATAGTTTCACTGGTATGGGGGGAAGAATTCTTTTTTAAAACATTTATTGTTATTTTTATTAGTGTATGTTTGCAATACATAATGATAACATTCATCGTGGAGAGCTGGTCCATGGATATCACACATCTTCATCATTTTTCCTTCTCCTTCCACCCCCTCCAACTCCCTCTATCCCTTAGTCCTCTTCCATTTGCAAGACATCTACCTCCCTGTTTTCTATTATCTACCTTTAATTTTGCTTTCTAAATTATTTATTCTTTGGATTTCTCATACAAGAGAAACCATACAATAGTTAAGTTTGTATGTCTGATTTATTTCACTTAACATTATAGTCTCAAGGAACATCCATTTTTCTATAAATAACTTAAGTCTATTCTTCTTTATGGCAGAGTCATACTCCATTGTGTATAAGTGCATTTTTTTTTGTACTGGGGATTGAACTCAGGACCTTGTGGTTGTGAGGCAGGCAGCGGCACCATTGAGCTAAATCCCCAGGCCTATAAATGCACTTTTTTTTGGTACCAGGAATCAAACTCAGGACCTTGCGCTTATAAGGCAGACGTCAGAACAACTGAGCTAAATCCCTGGCCTATAAATGCATTTTTAATCCATTCATCTTTTGATGAATGGCTGCTTCCAAGACTTAACTATGAGTTGTGCTGCTATAAACATGGGTATGGATGTATCACTGTGACATATGATGTCTTTATCTCTTTCAGGAAGATACCTAGAAGGTGAATAGTTGGGTCAGATGGAATTTTTAGTTTTAGTTTTTTGAGGCATTTCCAATCTGATTTCTAGATAGTACTGGTTGTTCTAGTTTATATTCCCACCAAGAGTGTAGATGTGTCCCATTCTCCTGCAGCCTCACCAGCACTTGTTGTTATTTGATTTCTTGATGATGGCCATTCTTTCTGGGGTGAGATGGAATCTCAGTGTTATTTTAACGTACATTTCTCTAATGGCCAGGGATGTTGAACATATTTTCATATACTTATTGGTCATTTGTACTTCTTTTTCTGAGAAGTATATATTTATTTCAATTGTTCATATTTTGATTGGGCCTTTTGTTTTGGGGGTTCTAATTCCTTTGAATTCTTTATCTATTCTACATATTAGTCCTCTGTGCAAGGAGTGGCTGGGAAAATCTTTTCCATCTATAAATTGTCTCTTCACTCTGTTAGTTGTACAGAACCTTTTTTTGTTTAGATTTTTTTTTTTTTTTGGTACTGGAGATGGAACTCGGGTTCTTGTGCTTGCGCAGCAGGCAACGAAACCACTGAGCTAAATCCCTGGCCCTGTACAGAACCTTTTTTATTGATATGATACCATTTATTGATTCTTAATGTTATTATTATTATCATTATTTGCATTTCTAGTCCTGTTCAGAAAATCTTTGTATTCCAGCAGATTAAATGTTTTAATATTTAGATCTTTGATCTATTTTTATTTTATTTTAGAACATAATGAGAGATATGAGTCTAGATTCAATCTTCTGCATGTGTATAGCCAGTTTCCCCAGCACCATTTGTTGAAAAAGCTACTTTTCCTCCAGTGTAGTTTTTTGGACCCCTTTGTCAAAGATCAGATGGCTGAATTTGCCTGAGGTTGTTTCTGCATCCTCTCTTCTACCTTACTGATCCATGTGGCTGTTCCCCTCCGCCCTCAGTACTATGCTGTTTTTAATTACTGTAGCTTTGTAATATAACTTTAAATCCAAGATTGTGATTTTCCTGCTTTGCTTTTGTTTTTTTGTTTGTTTTTTTTTTGGTACTGGGGATCAAACTCGGGTCCACTCGGGTCCTTGCGTTTGCGAGGCAGGCGGCAGAACCACTGAGCTAAATCCCCGGCCCATGCTTTGCTCTTGTTGCTCAGGATTTCTTTTGCTATTAGAGGTCTCTTCTGGCTCCACGTGAATTTTAGCCTTGCCTTTTCTAGTTCTGTGAAGAATTCTGGTGTTTTGATTGATACTGCATTAAATCTGTGTATCAATTTTGGTAGTATAGCTATTCTGACAATATTAGTTCTGCCTATCCAGAAACAGGGGTTATCTTTCTATTTTCTGATGTCCTCTTTTATCTCCATTTTCAGAGTGCTATGGTTTTTGTTACAGAGTTATTTTACTTCCTTTGTTTTTCTCATTCCTAAGTATTCAATTTTTCTTGAAACTATTGTGGATGGTATTGTTTTCCTAATTTCTTTCTCAGTGAGTTCATTATCAGTATACAGGAATGTTATTGATTTTTGTGTGTTGATTTTGTGTACTGCTAACTTGCTGAATTTATTTATTAGTTCTAGGAGTGTTTTGGTGGAATTTTTTGGTTCCCATATATAAACTATCATGGCCTCTGAAAATAAGGATATCTTGGCTTTTTTCTTTCCTCTCTATATATACCTTTTATATTTTTCTCTTGTCTGATGTGTCTGGCCAAAGTTCTGAGTGCTCTGTTGAATAGTAGTGGTGATACGGATTTTACAAAAAAAGCTTCCAATTATTTTGCCTTTAGTATGATGTTGGCGATAGTTTTGTCATGGATTTTATGAGATGGAGATAATGTTCTCCTGTGCCTATTTTCTTTGGTGTTTTAATCATGAACAAATTTTGGATTTTGTCAAAGGCTTTTTCTGTGTGCATTGAGATCATCATGTGATTTTTGTCCTTGCTTCTGATTATGTGATGCACTATACTTACTGTTTTGTGTATGTTGGACTATCCCTTCATCCCTAGGATGAAACCTAGTTGGTCATGATCTTTTTGATAATTCATTGCATTTTTTATTAAAAATTTTTATTTTTATTAGTTCATGTTTGCAGGACATAATGATCACATTAATTGCGGGGGAACTGTATATGTACATAACCCATCTCAATTCTTTTTTTTCCTCCATCCCTTTTATCCCCATTGAAATATTTTTTGCCAGCATCAGATTTATGTGTATCTTTTATAAGTCTTTATCAAGTTAATTATCATAAATACATATTAACAGCCAGAATAACAGGCCAAAAACCATATAAAACAGATAAGACATCTATCCTATGATTTGTTGCATTCTGCTTGCCAGCATCTTGTTGAGGATTTTTCCATGTGTTCATTAAAGAGTTTGACTTGTGGTTTACTTTTTTATTTGAGTCTTTGTCTGATTTGGGAATCAAAATAATGCTAGTTTCCAGGAATGAGTTTGACAGTACTCCTTTTCTTTCAAGTTCATTAAAATGTTTGAGGAGTATTAGTGTTAGACCTTCCCTAAAGTTCTCGTAAAATTCAGTGGTGAATCCATTCAGTCCTGGGCTTTTCTTTTTTTTTTTATTACTGCTTCAATTTTATTGTCTCTTATTGGATTACTCAGGGTTTTTATATCCTTGCTTCAGTTTTGATATATTCATCTAGGAAGCTATCCATTAC